ATGGATATTGAACACTGAAGCCCTACTGCTGTATACGTTACAAGAGGCACTGTTACAGTAACGTTACTGTGTATAAGGCATTTATTTTATTCCTGCAAAGAAAATTTGTTTATTTATAATATAAGCCAATAGCTGATGCCACGTAGTATTTACATAGAGGCAAATGCAAGGCCCCTTAGAACAATAAAAATGCTTCAGCAGAAATTTAACAGAACAACAGAGCATTCTTTCGCCTTCCTCCCTCCCTCTGTCTTTGCCTCCCTCCCCTCCCCCCCCTTCCTGCCCTCATTATGTGCCCCCCTCCTTTGTCCTCCCTTTTTTCTCCTCCCACCTAACTGATGAATAAAAAAGATAAAAGCATATTTGGAAAATAACGGTGGCATGTCAAAAATAATTTGTTTCTTATTTATCTCCTCTCAGATACTGCCAGTAAGAAACCCCCACCACCCCTTGCCCAGCCTGCTCCCCCATAAGTTGGAAGCAGATGATTTGCTCTCCTGAAAGAGCAGCAAATCCGTTGCCCGGGTGATATCTCATTACTAAGGCAACCAATTTGGTGCATCAGTGTGAATCCCAATTTTAAAATGTAATTATGCCAAGATATGTACATATGCTTGAGATTTGCTTAAAAGGAATCCATTCCCCTTTAGAAGGAAAACATTTCCCATGTTAGGTGAAAGAAAGGGTGAAATGTTGGTTTTATTCTGGGCTGTAGCTTACAGACACCTTTCAACTGAGCTCCCCTGCTATGCTTAGTAAAAGAACTTGCGTTGGTTTTCCCCTCGCCTTTTTTTTTTTTTAACTTGAGATGTTCCCTTTCCAAGACACTTCTCTCTTGAGACCTGTCACTCATAACCCAGCAGCTGTCGTCTCCATGACAACACTTTCTGGCCCCTATAGGTAGTGGTAGGAAAAAAAGGAAGGGAAAAAAAACCCTTGGCTGCAATTTTCATTGGACTTTCTCTTTTTTAATGGCTGGAAGCTCAAAAGATGGACTGTGTGTAAGGAATTAATTAGTGGAGAGGAAGCGATCTGTGAATAGATGTTTACATTAAATTACAAAACTTCTGAACAGTTCAGTGAGGATTGCTGTTCCAAACTCAGATGAAAGATCTTGCAGATAGGAAGTGTACAACCAAAAGCTTGTCTGGAGGAAGGCTCTATTATCCAGGTAGCTGAAGGTGGGCACCAGCTGGGCCAAACAATACTGTTAAATCACTGCTGGGCAATTACTTTGTCCTCCTCAACACAAATTATTATGTATAAATAAAACATATTTAGGTGCAGGGAGTATTTTGCTTTAATTACCAACCTTATTAAATAATGAAATCCCTGCCGCTCATTAAATTTCCCATTTACTGCTGCTGCCAGGACTCTCCGGGCTCAGATTTGTACTCAGATCCCCTGGATTTCAAGTGTGGTTGTCTCCCTTCCCACCCACACCCGTGCCCTCACCTAGCCGACCGTCTTTTATCTTTACTTGGGTGACCCATTGTCTATGAAACTTTCACTATAAGCTCCCTCAGATCCTTTTGGAAATAATTGGGAGACATATTAAAAACAATGATGAAAATATTTTATTGTAATGGGCATTCACTGCTTAGTGACAACATGGATATTTGATGTCAAATATCACCCCCCAAAAAAGATGATTTTTAAAACTTAAAAAAAAATGGCTTTTCTAAAGTACCTAATTTTACCACATACTTCATTAAGCTAATACACTTAATGGATAATAAAATATATGCTATCTACCAATTTAGGTATATAATGGAATACATGTGGTTTCAGTGTGAGGGCTACAGTGTTGAGGTTTATTTTATTCCTTTTCTTACCATAGCAAATATATGTAACTACCAAGAAATCCAACTGTTATCAGTAATTGTTCGTATTCTTTTTCATGGCACATGGCACATGGCCTTCTTGGATGATTAAATTTTGCTAACCAAAAAAAGTTTATGAAATATTCAGCATGTTCTGGGAAATGTATCATTATTTATTGCCTATATTTAGAGCATTCACTTTGTCTTTATGAGAAGATATATAGTTGCCTTAAACTATTTTTTTTTAATTTCAGCAAGTACAGAATATAAATAGCTTTAATAGACAAAGGGCCCTTCAAAAAAAATTAATACCTCATTAAAAATTGAGCAAAAATATGGGTGCTCAGTTTGCAAAAAAAAGAGGGAGAGAGAGAGAGAAATGGCCAGCAGCCATTTTTTTCACCTGTCAAATACTCAAGGTTTTTTTTAAAAAAATCATACTCAGTGTAATTGAGGATATGTGTGTATACTGTTGGCATAAGAGTAAATTGGTGATAACTTTCTGGAAGGCAGTTTGGCAATGTGTTTCCAAAAACTTTAAAATTAATTTGCTTCTAATCTTTTAGAAATTTTTACTAGGTAAATTCTTATGAATTTGATATAAAAACTTAATTGGAAGAATTTTCAACATGTCTCATGGAAGTGGAAAATAATGGAGGAAAATGTTAGGAAATTAATTATATAAATTATGGTATATCCGTACAATAGAAAACAGATATAACAATGTAACTATGTAAAAAAAATTTAATACGGGCGCCTGGGTGGCTCAGTCAGTTGAGCATCCAACTTTGGCTCAGGTCATGATCTCACAGTTCATGAGTTCAAGCCCCGTCCGGCTCTGTGCTGACAGCTCAGAGCCTGAAGCCTGCTTCAGATCCTGTGTCTCCCTGTCTCTCTGCCCTTCCCCCATTCATGCTCTGTCTCTCCTTCTCCCAAAAATAAATACAAACATTTAAAAAAATTTAATAATGAGAGACTCTTGGATGCTGACAAAAACTGAGGACTGATGGATGAGGGGGGGAGGGGGGGAGGGGCATGGAGGAGGGCACTTGTGGGGATGAGCACTGAGTGTTATGTGGAAACTAATTTGACAATAAACTATTTGTAAAAAAAAAAAAGTTAATAATAATAAAAGTGTTTATAATAAATGTTAAGTGAAAACATGTTACAAAATAGGATGCTCTGGTATGATTCCTTTTTAGCCACATTGTTAATTCTAGAAACACACACACACACAACACACATACACACATTCACACACCCGTTATATATACTGAGGAGGAACTAATGAGTCATTCCATTCTGGGGTTTTATTCATTACTAAAGAAAATTTAGGACTATTTATATTCCGTGGTTTTTGTCAGAAAGCCTTAATGTTGCCAAACATCGCTATCTATTCAAATTCAGCACTACAATGAGAGTCTGAGTTTTGAAGAAAATTTAATTTCAAAATAAGATGTTTAGTTGTCAGCTGTCCTGAGTTGGTTTTATTGTATTTGTGTAGATACAAACATTCAAATGAACTGAATACACATGGAAAATATGTTGGTTTGGAGAACTGAGGAATCAGCCAAGATTTGTCATTTAAGTGCAGAGTACTTTGAATTATTCACAAGTTTGTTTTCTTTAAATGGATTATAAATAGGAACAACATACAGCTATCATTACATTATTTCTATCCAAAATTCTAATTAATAGTTTCTGTTATAAAGTGATACGTGTTCATTTTAAAATATAGTAAATTATTTAAACAATGAAATAATACCACCCATTATCTCACACCCAAAAGGTAGTTACTATTACCATTATGGATGAGGTGCCTGGGCGGCTCAATCAGTTAAGTGTCTGACTTCGGCTCAGGCCATGGTCTCATGGTTCATGGGTTTGAGCCTCACATCAGGCTCTGTGCTGACTACTCAGAGCCTGGACCCTGTTTCAGATTCTGTGTCTCCCTCTCTCTCTCTCTGCCCCTCCCCTGCTCGTGGTTTGTCTTTTTCTCCTTCAAAAATAAACATTAAAAAAAATTTTTTTTTCACCGTTATGGAATGCATTATTCCAGACTCTGTCCTGCTCTCTCCTATACACAGACACACACACAATTTTTAAAATTGTGGTCATGCTGTGTGCACTGTAAAGGGCTATTCCAGTGTGAAAATCAGCAGACCCATGGCAATGGTGTGGTCCTCTGCCCCTGAACCACTTCCATGTGATCTTCCCAGTGTCCCTCCTTGACCCTCATCTATACAATATCCCCATTTGTTTTAGTGATGTTTCTCTGTTCAAAAATCCTTCCATCACCTACAGAGTCAAGATCAGGCTCTTCCAGAATCTGGCTCCAAGCAGCTCCATCTTCCATTACATTGCAGGACTGCACAACTCCAGTGCCCTCTTCACTGACCGCCCCCGCAGACCTTACTTTTCCACCTGTGTACTAACAGTTCGCCCTGCCTTCAGTGCTCTTCTTGATTCCACCTCCTCACTGAAGCCCTCCTGGCTGTGCCAGTCTCAATAAAGCTGTCTTTACTTCTTGCTCCAGAACCCATTCATCAGTTGGATGTGGCTCTGAGGCAGTCACCGCAGTGGTAGGCAGGGACTGTGGGCCGGCTGTCAGTTTCAAGTTTGTGTAAGGTTTAAATCATCACCTCTTTTTGCTGTAAAATAATAGATTTGGATATGGGCACATCTGTCACAGGTGTAAAGTGTATCATGAGTAATTTGTTACTAATAATAAGTTATTGAAAATAATTATTTTATAAGTCGGAGCTGATTCGAGGTTATTTCTATAAAATTTAACCTTGCTTCCTTGAGTGGGTGAGCACAATTAGGGACCTTACAGCCCCTGAGAGCAGTGCACTGCACACATGAATGTCCTTCCTAAGGAATGCCACGGGAGAGCCAGGGCAGAGAACCTCTCCTCCCCTC